TTATGGCTTACTACATTTTTGCTTGTGTGATGAAAATCCCTTTTAAACAATGGGCTATGGTTTTGATCAGTGTGTATAAAAGACATAGTACTGTGTATTTTGTGTTTTTTTTCTTTTTCTGGGCCAGGGTCTTTTAAAAATTACCGTATGTAGCTCGGTGTTGGTGGCTCATGCCTATCATCCTAGCTACTCAGGAGAGGCTGAGATCTGAGGATCCTGATTCGAAGCCAGCCTAGGCAGGAAAGACTCTGTCCAATGAACCACCAGAAAACCAGAAGTGATGCTGTGGTTAAAAGTGGTAGAGGGCTAGCCTTGAGCAGAAAAGCTCAGGACATCACCCAGGCTGTGAGTTTCATGAATGACCACTCCCATCTTTCCCCCAGAAAAATAGCATACATTACTTACACATAGTGACCTTTCTACACATGCACATAATGTATTCTTTTTTTTTTTTTTTTTTGGTCGGTCATGGGGCTTGAACTCTGGGCCTGGGCGCTGTTCCTTAGCTCTTCAGCTCAAGGCGAGCGCTCTACCACTTGAGCTACAGCACCACTTCCGGTTTTCTGATGGTTTATTGGAGATAGGAGTCTCACGGTCTCTCCTGCCTGGGATAGCTTTGAACCGAGATCCTCAGATCTCAGCCTCCTGAGTAGCTAGGATTACAGGCGTGAGCCACCAGCGCCCGGCTGCACATAATTCTGATCAACCTCACTCCACAGTCTCACTCTCTCCATCCTAATTTTGTTTAATCTTCAAATGATTGTACAGGGAACGATGGCCGTTTATATATACAGAGTTCATACTGATCAGTCATTCCTTCTGTCATTCTGCCCCTCCCACCCATCTCTCTCTTCTGCCCTATGATAGCCGTTTGGAAAGCACTAGTAAAACAGAAGCAGAGATTTATTGTATCTTGAATTTTGGCTTTCCCTTTCCCTAATTTGTAGAGAGTATAGGACAGAGTGGGAAGAAAATGTGCTGAACGAGAGAACCAAAGAGTAAAACCAGAACCCCACTTGACTGAATGCCTGTCTTTGGAGCCCTTGATGGAGGATGTGGTATTAGGGGACATGTCCAGCGCTATACCAGGAGGAAAAAAAGGGCTACAAAATGGGTGAAAAACCCAACCTTTCAACTACCCATTCATCCTCTGACAAACTTAACAGTGTAGAGAAAGTCTTTAGAATCTGATGTCATTTGTGGGGCTTGAACTGAGGGGGCCTGGGCACTGTCCCCGAGCTTTTTCATTCTATGCTAGTGCTCTACCACTTTGAGCTACAGCACCACTTCCAGTTTTCTGGTGGTTCATTGGAGATATGAGTCTTACAGACTTTTCTATCTGGGCTGGTTTCAAATCCCAATCCTCTGATCTCAGCCTCCTGAGTAACTAGGATGACAGGCATAAGCCACAGTTGCACAGCTTTTAATTTCCTTCTTGATTGTGGGGTTTGAACTCAGCTTGGGTACTGTCCCTGACTCTCAGTCTATCGCTCTACCCCTTGAGCCACAGCACCACTTCTGGCTTTTTTGAGTAGTTTATTGGAGATAAGAGTCTCACGGACTTTCCTGTTTTGAACAGTGATCCTCAGATCTCAGCCTCCTGAGTAGCTAGGATTACAGGTGTGAGCCACTGATGCCCAGCTTTCCTTCTTGATTTTTCTGTTAGTGTTCTAGTAATGTATAATGAGAATACTAGATATCCTTGGATAATGTGCCCTATTTTGAGAATGTTTTTTCTTCTTTTGTTTAGAGCTGGAATGTCAATTTCCATAGTTACCTAGAATAAATTGGTAGAATGTTTATATACCACTGATGTGAGCTATGGACAGACATGCCATTTCATGCTCATATGTATTTTCTTTCATAGTTGAATTTGGTTTGGGCTACTGATGAGTAACAACTTTTAACTTCTGCCCTACTTGAGATACTTCTGCATATATGTATATATAACCTGTTAACAGAATATAAAAATAGAAATGGGGTTTATTATTGAGGTATTGACATTAGGGGAATAATTTAATTCCAATAGTGTATGTGGGGAAAAGAGAGCCTACTTTCCTATTTTCCTATAATTAGGGTAACTATACATCATGCTTTGACAGGCCTGCTTTATGATGCCTTGTCCTGACCTATTTTTTAGTTTTGCTTTGCTGCAGTACAGAGGATTAAATTCAGGGCCTTGGTAGATAAGAGCTCTACCACCAGTCCTTTGCTTTTAGAAATTTTTTTTTAGGGGGGCCAGTCCTGGGGCCTTGAACTCAGAGCCTGGGCACTGTCCTTGACATTTTTTTTTTGTTGTTGTTGTTGTTCAAGGCTAGCACTCTACCACTTGAGCCCATAGCTCCACTTCCAGCTTTATTTTTGGGTGGTTCATTGATGACAGAAAGTTTCACAGACCTTCTGTCCAGGCTGACGTTGAAGTGACATTCAGACCTTGGCTTTCTGAGGAGCTAGAATTACAGGCATGAGCCACTGACATCCAGATGGATTTTTATTTTGTGGTTCAGGGCATCTTTGTGCAGCTCAAGCTGACCTCAAATTCACAGTCCTTTTTCCTAACAAGAACAAACTCACAATTCTTTTCAGTAACTTTTTGGACAGAGCTGGCCTAAAATGTAATCTTCCTGATCTTTGCTTCCTGAATAGCTAGAAATATAGGCATTGGCCATTGGGTCCATCTAACTCTGCTGTTCCTTCTTTTCTTTCTTTTTTTTGGGTGAGGGGTGGTGTCAGTCATGGGACTTGAACTCAAGGCCTCTGAGCTTTTTTGCTGAATTTGCGCTCTACCACTTGGAGCCATAGTTCCACTTGGTTAATTGGAGATGAGACTCACATGGATTTTCTTTCCCATGTGAACTGTGATCCCTCAGATCTCAGCCTCCTGAGTACCTAGAATTACATGCATGAGCCACCAGCAACTGGCCTACTCTGCTCTGGTTTTTTTTTTTTGGGGGGG